TATGATGAAAGAAAGTGAAATTTGGGATTTTCTCAGGAATCTAAGTTTAGAGATAAAGGAAAGCTTCACAGCCTGAATCTCAAAAAGATATTTGCACACCCATGTTCATGGCAGCGTTATTCACAGTACCCAAAACATGGAAGCAACCTAAGTGTCCACCCATAGATGAATGGATAAATGTGTGTGTGTGTGTGTGTGTGTGTGTGTGTGTGTGTGTCTGTGATGGAATATTATTCAGCCTTGAAAAAAGAAGGAAATTCTGCCAATTGCAACAACATGGATGAACCCGAAGGACATTATGCTAAGCAAAATAAGCCAGACACAGACAAATACTACAATACAAATATTTTCTTATATATGGGATCTAAAATAGTCAAACTCATAGGAGCAGAGAGTAGGATGGTGGTTGCCAGGGCCTTGGGGTGGGCTGGGAGGGGAATGGGGAGATGTTGGTCAAAGGATACAAACTTTCAGGTATAAGATGTTTAAGTTATGGGGACGTAATGTATAGCATGGTGACAAAAAATAATATTGTATTGCATACTTGAAATTCGCTAAGAGGGTAGATCTTAAGGGTTCTCACCACAAAAAAAAAATAGTAAAGGAGAGAAAGAAAATAGTAACTGTGCAAGGAGATGAATATGTTAACTGGCTTTATTGTAATGATCTTTTCACGATATATACATATATCAAAACATCAAGTTGTGTACCTTACAACTTTTATATGATTTAAATTTAAAAAAAAATTTTTTTTTTTTTGGCAGTATGCAGGCCTCTCACTGTTGTGGCCTCTCCCGTTGCGGAGCACAGGCTCCAGACGTGCAGACTCAGCGGCCATGGCTCACGGGCCTAGCCGCTCCCCCGCATGTGGGATCTTCCCGGACTGGGGCACAAACCCGTGTCCCCTGCATCAGCAGGCGGACTCTCAACCACTGCGCCACCAGGGAAGCCCCTAATTTTTAAATTATACTTCAAAAAATTGTGTGTGGGGAAGCTAGGAACCTGAGACTCCCATATAATTATGTTTTGCTTAATGGGCTTTTCTTTAGCAACTGCAGAAACTTTCATATTTTCCAATTGGAAAATTTCAAATATTATTTTCATTGTGGTAAAACATACATAACATAAAGTTTACCATTGTAACCATTTTTAAGTGTACAGTTCAGTAGCATTAAGTCCATTCACATTATTATGCAACCTCACTACTACCCATCTCCAAAACTTTTTCATCATCCCAATCTAAATATTTTTAAATATTAATATTTTATCTAGCAAATATGTTCAAAAGTTGGAGGTAAGCTATTAATCAGCAATTAGCTTTAAAAAAAAAAACAGGAAGACCAATAGAATGTTATTTTTTGCTCTAATCAAATGAAGTTGCTTTCAAAAGGAATAAAATAGCTGAATTTCCTGAGTAGGAAAAGAGCTTTCAAGGTATTTTCTGTTTATAAACTGATTTAAATGTCACTTATTTGAGTATCCAGAGATTAAAAACCATATAGATTTCATGCCTATCAATCACACTGGTCAATAAAACCCCCAGCACCTTCTATTCCCAGTCAATACATGAAGCTTTAGAAGCATAAGTTCCCCTGGAAAATCTTAAATCATCAGCCTCGGGTAATTTGGTTACTTGCTTTATTTGCACCTGTTTGAACTACAGTTGCTTTCACAGCAGGGGTATAATGAACTCCACGTGCGCATAGCAGAATCTCAGAGATAAGACTTGAAATCCATTAACAATCAAAGTCATTTTTGACAACAGAGCTAGTTTCTCTCTCTTCTCCAGCTGACCTCACCGGCCTCTCCACACAGATCTGCTTGCATGCTGGTCTCCTCTGCCAGAGACCAGTGCAGAGGTGGGCCCGGGCCACAAAAATCACAGACACCCAGGGTGCTCCATAAGACAGCCCATGACAGTACCTGACGAGTGTGCACAGCGGGGCCAGTCAGACCGATTATAATCAGCTTCATATTGTTTCATTTTACTTCCTCCATTTGCTAGAATCACCAAATTCAAAAGATTACTGGGCAGCAAAGGTGAATGAAGCAAACAGCTAATATCAGACACCATTTCAAAAGCAACTGCCTGGATAAAGCCTTTAATAGAGTTTCCCAGTTTACACCTCTGAAGATGAAGAAGGCAAGTTACCATGGAAACAGTCTCTTTAAAGAGAGACAGGCTCCTCTCCTGGTCTGAGCTTGTTCCAGAAGGGAGGAGGGTGGAGGGAGGTGGGAAAAAGCAGGCCAAGCATCTGTGACTAGAACAATGAAGGGAAGTTTTCTTCTCATTAAAATCTTACCAATGAAATACGCTTGGAGGGCCAGCACAAGACAATTTTTTTTTTCTTGGCTGTGCCATTGAAAAAACCTCATCAGATATTTTGAGACACTTAAGCAAAATGACATTTTATTGGTAGTTTCTTTAATTTTTTTTCTTTATTCAATTAGTGGCACATGCTGGTGACAAGTGAAACCTTCCAGTACCTGACATAAAAGGCAAAGAGGACTCACTTTTCCTGGTCTTCTATCACCAACACATACTGTCTGAGGTAACACGCCATTGGCTGCTTTTCTCTGCCTCTTCCCTGTTTATATATATATATCTATACATGTGTGTGTGTGTGTGTGTGTGTGTGTGTGTCTGTGTGTGTCTGTGTCTGTGTGTATACATACATTTAAAAGAATATATACAAAAAACCTAATTTAAAAATTGGACAAAGGACTTAAATAGCTATTTCTCCAAAAAAGATATACAAATGACCAATAAGCACATTAAATGATGCTCAACATCACTAACCACTAGGAAAATGCAAATCAAAGATATCACAATGAGATGCCACTTCACACCCACTAGGGGAGCTATTTTTAAAAAAAGAAAAAGAAAAAAAATAGAAAAGAAGTATTGTTGAAGATGTAGAGAAACTGGAAACTTTACACACTGATGGTGCAGCCACTATGGAAAATAGTATGTTACTTCCTCAAAAAATTAAACAGAATTACCACATGATCCAACAATTCCACTTCTGAGTATATACCCCAAAGAATTGGAAACAGAGACTTGAACAGATGTTTGCATACCCATGTTCATAGCAACAGTATTTATAATAGCTAAAGAGAGGAAGCAACCCAGATGTCCATTGATGGGTGAATGGATAAACAAAATGTGGTATATACATACAATGGAATATTATTCAGCCTTAAAAAGGAAGAAAATTCTGACACATGCTACAGTATGGTTGAACCTATTAGATATTATGCTAAGTGATCTAAGGCAGCCATAATACTGTATGATTCCACTTATATGAGGTACCTAGAGTAGTCAAAGTCACAGAGAAAGAGGGTAGAAGGGTAGTTGCCTGGGGCTGAGGGGAGGTGAGAGTGGGAAGCTAGTGTTAAATGGGTACAGAGTTTCAATCTTGGAAGAGGAAAAAGATCAAGAGACGGATAGTGGTGATGGTTGTACAGCAATGTGAATATACTTAATGCCATAAAACTGTACATGTTAAAGAGGTAAATTTTATGTGTATTTTAACACAATAAAAACTTTTAGATAAATATATATTTATATATGTATATGTACAGGAGTTCTTTTGTATACACAGATGTTTTGTATATGTAGATGTACAGGGATTTTGTTTTTGCTCTTGATTGCTTACTTTTGCTAAAAGAATTATGCTACACACGTGTTCCTTATGTAACAAACCCCAAACCTTAATGGTATAAAGCGACCATTTAATTATGCTTCGAATTAAGGATTCTATGGATCAGGGATTTGACCTGGGCAGAGAAGGGACAGCTGTCTCTTCTCCATGGTGTCTTGAGGCCTCCTCTGGGAAGACTCAAAGGCTGGAGCAAGAATCATCTAGAGGCTTCTTCACTTGACTGTCCTGCAGTTGCCGTTGGATCCTCACTTGGGCTGTTGACCAGAACATCCACATGTGGGCTCCCCACCTGGGCTGCTCCTTTGAGCTTCCTCATAGCATGGCAGCTGAATTCCAAGGGCAGCATTCCAAGAGAGCAGAGCAGAGTACATGGCTTTTTACAGCGTAGCCCCAAAAGTCACATTGCATCGTTCGGTATACTCAGTTGGTTGATGGAGGGGAGATGCCATTGTGCCCTCTTTGGAAAGTACAACCTGCCATAGCACACTGATTCGTCTTCTACCTGCTTTTACAATATCTCATTGACAATCCCTAAAAGTCAATAAAGATGTAATTTTTCAATTTTTCTCATTTCTTTATAATGACAAAATTACTTTGAATTCTAAAAGTAATGTAAGTATAGGAACAAAACTTGGAAAACATAAAAATCTATTCACAATATCCCCCCTTCAACCAATCATGGTAATCATTTTTAGACTTTTTATTCCATAATTTCCTCATAATGTTCATAGAGTTTATGTTTGTTTTTTAAAATTTCCCCTTAGCACATAAGCACCCAAATTCACATCTCAACATTAAGTTATCTTCTTTATTTTTCTTGTGTGGACAGAGCAAAAATAAGGGTAGTGTACACCACGGGATAAGGTCTTCAGGTAGGAACTTGCTTAGCCTGATCCTACTGACAACCACTAGGGAAAATCACATCAGGGCTCCAAGTCTTCCGTCTTCTTTCTAAGGGCACAAAGCAGAGACATGACACACTAACTCCGGAAAAGTCACGTCATGAGTGAGCTGTGCCTTCTGCCACGCTTGTGTAAGGAGCAGGTGACTGACCTCGGTGTGGAATACCAGCTGGTGACCTTTCACTGTTTTCTGCTACAAAGGCTTGGCTTTGGGGTTTCAACAAAATACGTGGATCTAGCAAGTAAAGTTTGGCAGAGCCTGTGTCTCCCAAACTCAACTCCAAACCATCGCTGGTTTTCATTGGCCTGCTGTGAAATGAGAAAAATAACAACAGTGGGGTGAGTTTTTCATGAAGCTAAATGGATTCAATTTTTTAAAAGCTGGGCTTTATTCAGAGATCATTCCTCTTTTAAAAATGTCAATATTGGGAATTCCCTGGTGGTCCAGTGGTTAGGACTTGGCATTTTCACTGACATGGCCCAGGTGCAATCCCTGGTCAGGGAACTAAGATCTCACAAGCTACACAGCCAAAATAAAGGAATAAATAAATAAAATAAAAATTAAAATGTCAATATTTTATAACATAATTCTGAACATAGATTTTCTTAGCATTCCTAATTAGCAAAGTAAAAAGTTGGCAAATCTAAACTTAGTTTCAATCATCTGACTGATCTGTGACATCCCGAATTCTGAGAAACACTGATCCAGTCTCCTTATGAAGAGCCTTTGGGTTTGATGTGCCTTATTTGTCGAAAGGGATTATACTCTGAGGTTGGGGGAAAAAACTGCTTGACATGGGAAGAGGATGCAAAACTGGGCTCTGCTTGTGATGGTCCAGTTGTGTGGCCTTGAGCACGTCATTTATGCTCAGAGCCTCTTCAGCCATCAAATCCAGTCCACAACGCTGGCCTTCTCTCACAGAGCAAGTGGGGGTGAAAGGCTTAATTGTGGAAAGTGTAGAGAGCTGTGTAAGTGCTGAGTCCTCGGAGCTTTCCCTCACAAACGCTGCTCAGTGGGTCCTGTAATAGCTGGTGAAAAACATGAGGAGGGACATCCCAAGTATTTCCCTGGGAGTTCCTAATTTTAATGAGAAGAATGTTCTCTAATTAAAATGGCACCGCAGAAATTTTTTTAAAACAAATTGCCATCTAATTTCCCTTTGATCTGTTTTTTCCACTTGGGTTGCAAGGTTTTACAGAATTTTCCCCAAACGCTTGGAGTCCACAGTAATTTTATTTCATTCTGATTAAACTTCAAAGGAGAAAACACCAAGCCACCGGAACAAGCTCAGCTTTTTTCCACTTCATTTATTCAATAAGCATTCTCGGGGCATCTGCAACGTGCCATGACATTGTGCTGAGTGTTGCAGATACAAAGATGAATAAATACAACTCAGCCCTTGCCCTTGCTGGGTTCAGTGTTTCCAGGACCCGATCAAGCCACAAACAAAACACTGTAATGCAATGGGATGACAGTAGAAACACCACCGCACAGCCATCTTCTGTAGGGTCTTGTGGGAGCAAAGTGGTGGCCCTGGCTGAGCTGACACTTTAAATGAAACTTAAAGTGACTAAAATTTAATCAAAAGAGCGCATGAAGGACATCCCAGGCAGAAGAGACAACAGGTCCAGGGGTGGGAAATGGCATGGCCTCTGGTGTATGTGCACGTACGTATGTGATGCATGTCCATGTATATGTATATGTGTGCATCCCTGTGTTTGTGTGTGTGTGACTGTGTTTCCAGAATAGGAAAGGGCTGGAGTAGGTATCATCAGGAGACTCTACTGCATGGCGTGGGGACAGGCAAGTTAACCTTAAACAAGCTGGCAGCAGCCTATATTAGCTGTGGGTCTCCGGGAAAGAGATTCAAAAATTTGCTTTAGACAACCTAGAAAGAAGAAAAAAACACTCCTACATGGAATGTTAAATTAAATTTGACTTTAATGTATGTTTCGAACACACACCTTTTGGAGGCTCTGCAAACACCAGCACTGACCCTGGAAAGAAGGACCTGAGTTCTCCTGTAGAGGTGACGCGGAGGCACGATCCAGGGCTGCTCAAGCCTTGATGTCCACGTGAATCACTGGAGATCTTGTCAAGATGCAGGTTCTGACTCAGTGGCCTGGATTCTGCATTTCCATCCAGCTCCCAGGTGATGCGAGTGCTGCTGGCCCACGGAGCACACTTTGAGTAGCGAGATCAAATGCACTTGTTGCCCGATGGCCTACCAACCTAGACCTGCCACAGGGGATTCACTGCCCTCAGCTCGGTACAGAGACCTCCAGAGGACCGTGTTCAGATCCTCCCTGCAACCGGGCACAGGGCCCCATCCAGCAGGAGTCCAGGCCCTCTGGTCTGAGAGACCACAGACCTAGAATTGAAGGGTGGAAGTGGGGAGGAGGGAGGCAGAAATGGTGGGATGGGGCTGGCACTTGCTCAGAAAACAGACCCAGAGTGCTCCTGTGACAGGAATTAAGTGAGACACTAGGGCCACAAGAAAAGGAAGCAGGAGCTCAGAAGCGGGCCCAGGCAGAGCCTCACTGTCAGGGCAATGAACACTGACCATGTGCCAGGGACTGTCTTCATGCTTTACACAGATGTCACATTCATCTTCACCCAAAGCCCTTGCAAAGCAGGCCGTAAATCCCTGCTCACAGATGAGGCACTTGAAGTGCGGAGCAGTTCAGTGAATCACCCGACCACCCAGCAGGCACACAGTGGAGCCACAGCTCACACCCAGCTCTGCAGGATCTGAAAGCCCAGGTCTTCCAGGGACCACACACTGCCTGCTTTAACGATGGACGAGATCCAGGCCCTGTGCCTGGGCCTAAGGGGCCCTAGGCTAGGGTCTTTCGATGTCTGAATCCAAAAGCAAGTGATGTCAGCCATGAGTGTCAGGCCAGGAGGAAGCAGGTCAAGAGAAGTCAGCATCTGAAGGAGACCTGGTATCTGGAGCTGGACCACCCTTGGGCAAAGGCCCAGCCCTCCTGGTCCTGAAGGAGATCTGCCTCCACGTAGGCCAGCCAGGGGTCCAACACGGCCCTCATGGTCTTGGCATGTGCAGAGGTAGACAAACTGGTTAGTGGGCATCTTAAAGCCGTCTTGGATAGAAATCTTGGCAGAAATGGAATATGTACCTGAGAAGAAGGAAGACAGAGCACTAAATGGGAAGGACTGTCATCCGACAAATCGTCCTGAACATAGTGATCAGTAATTGGGAGCTGCCGTTACTATTATTATTGTTGTTATGGGGTGCTGTTTCTGTGCATTGCTGCAGAACCAGCCAGCGATATACTGGGAACATTCTCAGGCATAATTAGATATGAAATATTCCCAGCAAACCAAAGTCTAAAGGAGTCCAGCCAGGTAACTAAACAAACCAGCTGAAGCTTCATGCTGTATGAGGGAGGGGCATTCATCCCCCAACATTTTGTAGTCACTAATATTCAGATATCAGGATGCAGTTTGCACGTGGTCCACTGCTTCCTCCTCGTTGGGCTATCACAGTTCAAAAATTGTATTTCTAAATGCCAGGAGCCTTCCTATAGGAAGAGCCTCAGACCGGAGCTGAAGGACCCACTGTCCTCCTCATTGACACTCTCTCTTTGCCCTCGAAGTGGAGACGACTGCACCTGTGCTACCTGCCTCAGGACCAAAGGAGATGCAGTGAGTAGAAGGAGGTAAAGACTGCCGAGCCCTACACACAGAGAACCTGTGATATTACCCTGACGTTGTCTTGCCATTCTATTCTAATTTGGGAATGAATTCTTTATTAATGTTATTATTGTTCTAATATCCTCTCTGTTTCTTCTAAACTGCCTCGATCCTTTGAGGAGCAAGATAACATTTACTAACATACATATATCCATAAATGTCTACATGGAACCTAAAAACAAACTTATAGATAGATCTTATGTATAGATCTAAATACACCTAATAATGTATATAGACATATGTATGTATGTGTACAGACATATATATGTGTATATATACAGCTATATATACACATACACATATATATATATATATATATAAGTTTTCTTCTGTACTAAACTCAAAGAACTGCTTGTTAAAGCAGGTGAGACATCTGCACAATTAGTTTAAAAGACTATTATTTAAAAATGGAAATAGCTTGGAGCAGATGACTGGAAATCATTCCTCGCTGCAACTCAAATGGAGGAAGCTGTCTAATTCTTGGAAATTTAGACATTATTCTAGTAATTTAGCACAAAAATGGGCCTGACTCAATCTGTTCTTCACATTTTGGTAATTTAAAAGGACATAACGGAATTTTATTTTAATGGTAATTGCAAACTCATGCAGAAAATGTAAATGCACATTTCATGATTAGCTTACAGCATAAACTATGGCTTCTATTAATGTATTGCAATTTGTAATTCTTTTCACAGTATGAGATTTGAAAGCTGTGATTAAAATTAATTAGGTTAAGTAAAGTTTATCCCCCCTGAGCACTGCTATTGGGAAAAAGCAAGAGGAAAATGCGAACTACATCTGGCTCTGCAGGAAGCTGTGTCTTCACACGAAGTAGGCTGACTTCTCTTCTTCCCACAGAGGTTGCATGCTGCTTATTTGGCATATCTCAACACCATGTAGCTCCTCAAGGAGCTGATTGAACCATTAAACTATTCTTTGCTGGCTCACAAAACCACATAGGCTGACTACCTCATCTTCAAATAAGGATATTAGGTAGATCCATCGATTGTTTAAGCACAATATATCTTGGGGGAAAAGCACATACATCTGGTAAACCTAAGGTAATGTGGCCACCTAGAATTGAGCACCATAATTGCGTGGAAGAGGTGCCAAATGAGGGAACAATAATAAAGATAATAACTAATCCACGATTGTACAGAGCCCCCTGCTTTGCACAGAATTGTCTTGAATATTACCTTACTAGATCTCCTCAACAATCCTGACAAGAAATCCTTACTGTTGTCCCATTTCACAGATGAGGGTACTGAGGTTAAGTGAGGTACCCGGGGTCAAAGAGTGCTGGAGAACAGACCCAGGTCTTCTGAATTCCCATACTGCACTCCTTCTATGGCTCAGCTCTACAGCTACTGAAAACAAAAATAAACTAAACTTTTAACTTACACCTTGTCTATGTTTTCACAATGGGTTGAAATTCATTACCAAGTTTCCTAGGGTATGAACTAAGGCAAAGTTTAACAACTCCGGAATGGTGTTGTACATCCCAGTAAGCAGAGCATAAATCTGGAGGGCCAAGACAAGACAGAGTGAAAAGCTGGCACAGCGATACTCTCTTCTTATTGAAGATCTTGGTTAGAGTTCTCCAGTCTTCCCTAACTGTCCTTTTGCTTAATACCCAACCACTCATGCCACCCCTGGCTCCTCTTGTTTCCTTTGGCACAATGGAGTCCCAACTCTGGTCCAGGCGGGGAAATACAGATGTGGATGACACATGCCCTGCCTCTGGCTTTGCCTGACCCATGCCCTGAGTCTTGATGGACCCTCATCTCCTG